GTTTGGGGGGGGGGGGGTTCAGCACCACCAGGGACCCCCTGGGACCCCCCCCACAGAACCCCCATCATTTGAGGGGGGCTCAGCACTGCCAGGGACCCCCCCCAGACCCCCTTGGGGGAGGGGTCAGCACCTTCCTGGGCACCCCCTGCACCTGTGAGACCCCTCCCCCACCCGACCCCCGGGGGTTTTGGGGTGTCCCCCCCTCCCCCACGCCCTCCCCGAGGGGACAGGGGTGGGTCTGGGGTCCCCCTGCCCCCTCCCCACAGCACTCACCGAGGTGGGGAAGTACTTGTAGGACTCCTGTGGGGACACGAGGGGACACGTCAGGGACCTGGCAGGGGACAGGGACAGGGACAGGGATGGGGATGGGGACAGGGGACAGGGACAGGGACAGGGACAGGGGACAGGGACAGGGGACAGGGGACAGGGACAGGGGACAGGGGACAGGGACAGGGACAGGGGACAGGGACAGGGACAGGGGACAGGGGGACATGGGGACGTGCCACACCAGGGACACCAGGCAAGGTGACAGAGACACGAGACAGGGTGACAAAGGGACACGAGGACGCGCCCAGACGGTGACACAGCACGTGCCACGACACCGGACACGGTGACAAAGGGACACCGGTGACAAAGGGACACCGGACAGAGTGACAAAGGGACACGAGGCGGTGACAGAGCCACACGACAGGGACACGGAGAGCAAGAGCCACACTGGGGACACTTTGGGGACACCTTGGCGACACTTTGGGGACATTTTAGGGGCACACTGGGGACACGATGGGGACACTTTGAGGACACATTTGGGACACACTGGGGACACTTTGGGACCACTTTGGGGACACTTTGGGACCACTTTGGAGACACATTGAGAACACATTTGGGACACACTGGGGACACTTTGGGGACACATTTGGGACACATTTGGGACACTTTGGGGACACCTTGGGGACACCTTGGGGACACCTTGGGGACACTTTGGGGACATTTTAGGGACACTTTGGGGACACGATGGGGACACATTTGGGACACGTTTGGGACACGTTGGGGACACTTTGGGGACACGATGGGGACACTTTGAGGACACATTTGGGTCACGTTGAAGACACATTTGGGACACGTTGGGGACACCTTGGGGACACTTTGGGGACACTTTGGAGACACATTGAGAACACATTTGGGACATTTTAGGGACACGTTGGGGACACTTCGGGGACACATTTGGGACATGTTGGGGACACGTTGGGGACACTTCGGGGACACTTTGAGGACACATCGAGAACACATTTGGGACATGCTAAAGACACATTTGGGACACTTTGGGGACACTTTGGGGACATTTTAGGGACACGTTGAGGACACATTTGGGACACTTTGGGGACACACTGGGGACACTTTGGGGACACACTGGGGACACGCTCACCCGCGCCCGCAGCTGGCACTGCCGCAGCCGGCACTTCTGGCGGATCTTGTTGGGGCCCCCGAATTTCTTCATGTCGCGACAGAAATCGCACTGGCCGCAGTCCTCGGGGCGCCGGCACGCCTCGCACTCCCCGCACATGCGGGCAGAGCGCTTGATCTGCGCCAGAAACGGGGTCAGGAACCCCAAAAACGGGGTTAGGAACCCCAAAAACGGGTTAGGAGCCCCAAAAATGAGATCAGGAACCCCAAAAACGGGGTTAGGAACCCCAAAAACGGGTTAGGAACCCCAAAAATGAGA